GTGAAATTATGAGCTCTGATTCAAGATTCAGTGATAAGAGTATTCTGATAAGATGAATAAGTTCACTTAAGAATCATTCAGATAGATAAGATATCTGCAGAAGCTGAGACATGACTTTCATACTGTAAATTCTGATAAGTCAGAATGACACAGTCTTCACTAAGAATCTGATTGTGATAAAGATATTAATACTGTTATTTGTGAATTCTAGTCTATAAGATAATGAGTTTCTACTGAGATGAACAGTCTGCAGTATATGCAAAAAAAGAAGAAATCATATTCTTATTAAAGCTAAAAAATAAGAAAATAAACAGAGTTATAAACACACTTTGAAGATTAACAAAGAAAAAACAAAGAAAACTCAAACTCATATTCTTATCACTTATAACACTCAATTCTCTTACAACTATCAATTTTCTTCTTCAAAGAAGCAGAGAGTATTATATTCACAGTATAGACAATTGTTGCATTTGATGTGAAGACTGTCAGAAATTTACAGACTTCAGAGAAGCTGAATATCAGAGTATGCACAGTTATAGTAGAATCTTGAGAGCTGACTGTCTGTGTGTGTGATCAGATACTTCTTACAAAGCTGTGTCTGCTTTCTCAGTTATACTAAAGTATTCAGCCTGGAATCAATTGAGATGTAGAGAGAGAACTCATCTGCTCAGATCAACTTCTATTATAAATTCCTAGCATTCATATTATCTTGATTACTCAGATTTTGCAGCTACTCAGAGACTCATCTCTTATTGATAATGAGATTGCAGAAATACGCTGCGGTGTGAGAACTATTGATAGAGAACCTAGACATATTCACATATATCTGGTCAGAGATTGTGTGAGCAGAGAAGAGGTGATCATAGACCTGCAGAGTCACAGAAGACACTGACAATATCAGAAGCTTCACAAGAACTGTCAGCTAGAATCTGTAAGAAATTACTTGTAAGAAGACTTACAGCAAAGACAAGAACTACACTACTTGAAGTCAGAGACTGGCCTGAGAAAGGCATAAGATGAGCTGCTGGCCTAAAGATCAGATACAGTGATGAGGCTGAAGAGAATGAAGATACAGTTATAAGCAGTGATATTTCTGCTTCATCAGCTGATAAAAAGTAATCAGAGAAGTTATGAAAACACTCATAAGAAGCTCAGCAGCAGTCAGACATTGTTGTAAAGATATTGAAATTGAAAAATTTTTTATTCTTGAAAAGTTCTTGAATCAATATATGAATATTATCAGAAACACTCTCTCTCTGTCATCTGAGTGAAAACACTTCATAGATAAATGAGAATACTCACAGTTTATAAGAATGAGAGCTGTTATAGAAAAAGAGAAAAGAAGATGAGATTTCATGAACAGATCTAGAATATTTATACTACTCTAGAGAGATTTGCTTACACTGTGAGTAATCTCATGAAACAGTCAGATCACTCTAGTAAATAAAAGTAATTATGAATTACAGGTCTGAATCTTTCTATATGACTATAAAGAGTGATTGCAGACTGCAGACATCTTGATGCTACAATTCTATAGAATTAATGAAAGAATGAAAAATTTCTCATCATTCTACTGTGTCAAAGAATAATGATTTATAAGAATGAGTGAAAGATTAACTTATAAATACTTCTCTTTGATAAGAATGATCTCACAGAGAGTGATTCATCTGTGAGATGAATCTGTGTGATGATTATACAAGAATCTCATGAAAATAATTAAGAGTCAATCAGAACTCTTCTGTATGAAAGATATGAGATGAATCTGTGTGATAGTCAGAGAAGAATCTGTAGATTATAAAGAATCTTATGAAATAAGAAACTGAGTGACAGACTCTTTTCTCTTTATAATAACAAGAGATTTTTCCTCACTGAGATTTTTTATAGATATGAAGGATTTTTAGTGAGTATCACTGCAGTGCTGAGCTGATTCTATGAAGTCACTCAGTAAAAGGCTTCACAGATGAAGTCTTAGAGAGAAAGAAATATATAAGAAATTTCACTTCTCACAGATTCTTTATCTCTATTTCTATCTCTCATATAATCAATAGAGCTAGCGGCTCTTAGCTACACACAACTATATAGACTGGAGTTCACAAATACTATTAATAACTCAGCTTGAATGCTATTATACATTTGATCTCTACATTTTATCTTTGTATCATGAATACTTCTAGTAGTTAACAGTACATATCACACCAAGCTGCAAACACCCGAATGATCGCTTGCGAGCACTTATTCTTACAGTTTAGCCTTAACACATGTGACACAGAATGATAATTTCTTCAGACTGATAATGATAATATCAAATCACAGATCTCTGATCATTTTTAATATACTATTTTCACTGATATGATTAAGTCAGCAATGTCACTTATCTATCAAAAGCTGTTTTGAAAGCACTGCAGATAATCAAGATGAAGATGAGATAATAAAGAAATCAGTATCTGAATTCTTAGAGTTAATTAACTGTTCAATCTTCTCACAGCTGAAAGATCTCAAAGACTCAGCACTCAGATTGTAATCTGTTGAGATTGTCTTTGATTTCAGAACAGTCATATATATCACTGCTTTATACATTGAGTCATTCATTATCTCATGAAATGTCAGTGAGCTGTTGAATAGAATATAAATATTATTGTGAAACAGATTGATATAGAAGATATCACTGTTAATAGATAACAGAAACTCAAAGTAGTTCTCAGTATTAACTTGTATATTACAGTGAATATAGCTCTGATATTTCATAAGCTTAGCAGAGATCAGGTTTGCATATAGTTCGGACACATAGTATATATAATTGAATTCTATCAATCTTTCACTCATCAGAATGAATACAGTACTGATACTCTGAACCTTCATAATAATCTTATTGATCACTTGAACTATTGAATTATTGATTGCTATAAGTTCTGAAAATTGTGATCTTTCACTCACTATATGGCATCCGGCATCACTATCTCATATAGTGAGGAAATCCTTGTGAGGTTTCATGAAACTGACTGATATATTGATAACCTCTGTGAGATTTGTCATCTGATAGATGTCTGATTCAGCTGTAATAAATAGTTAAGTTCTATTCTTACTATTATTCTTTTTCTTCTTTTTCTTGAATTTCTTTATTCTCACAGCATTGTTTATTCTTCAATTATTCAGAGTACTGTCTGAATTAATCAATTAACAGATGTCAAAGTGAGATCTCTTACATTCAGAATATGTAGGTGGATTTTCCAATCTCTGATGATTTCAGAAGCTCTCTTGAGTACTATTACAATCATGTTCAGTACAGTCTTCACGGGCCGAATTTGATGTATTGTTGTTAGAATTGATAGATGTAGTGATCATTGTATCTGTTGTAGCTATTGTAGCTGTTGTAGCTGAGTTGACTGCAGAATCTATATTCTGTAGATTCTTTGTATCTTTTGAAGAATTGAGTCACAAACAGATCTTCTTCATGAGAAGATCAACATTCAATACCACAGCTGTGAATTTGAAATCCTGTATCTTCTCTATCTTCTTCTGAATATAATTTCTTCAATTGTTGAGTAGAACTGAGTAGAAGGTATTAAATATTCATATATCTGAAGGAAAAGCATTCAACATCTTCAATTTCATAATAATGAACTGAAACTTATCAAAGAATGTATGTAGATTAATGACCTGTGTGTCATCAAGAGACATGAATTTCAGAACTGTTTCATAATATAACTGTGTTTTAAGAACAGAGTATTTCTGTTTAATTGCATTTCATAGAGTATAAGTGATTCAATTTTCATTATATTTGAAGAAATGTGATCTGACACCTGCACTCAAGAAGTTTGAGATAAATGTGTAGAGTCACCAGTTTCTAGCATCTCAGAATGATGCTTATTCATCATCTCTTTATAGAGGGTTCTGAGTCTGTCATTTCTCTATCATATATTAACACTGTGCATCAATCAGTTTTGATTTCATGAAGATGCTTCATGTGATGTAATTGAATATATAAGTTAGACTGTTTAATCTCACAGTATTCTTAACATCTTTCTTGAATTGAGAGATTGTCTTGCTAACATGGCTATTCAGTTCATAAAGATTGAATTCTAATCTTTGACTGAGATTAGAATCTCATGTGACTGTAGAGATGATAATAGAATGATTATTAATATTCTTTAATTAATCTGTAGAGAATGAGAATCTCTATTGACAGAGTTTTTTCAGTTATAGTTCAAGTTTCAGAACTCTATACTTCTTCTTCTTCATCTCAAATATTATTTTGAGATGTTTCATCTGTTAATCTTGTGGTTCGGAAGAACGTACGACCGTCGGATAATAACGCGGCCGCTTCCGAACTACTAGCGTACGCGTATGAGTGTAAAGGGGTCATAGCGGCTGCTAATTAAATTAGTGTACAATATTACAACATATAAGAAGCCAGTGTACACCTGTAATTGTATGCTGGCTTAAGCAACCTTTGAATCACATCTGATAGCATGTCTAAAAACCAGTGAGAAGTGCAGGCTTCTCCAGAATGTGATAATTTCATCTATGAAGCAATTTGTAGTTATCATGCCAGTGTGGTCCTAGAACATCTTAAAAAGATAGCATACAAAGAGCAGTGAGTGAAAGAGCATTTGATTGATGCTGCTTCACTTGTTGAGGGGAAAACTCCACACTCAGGTGAATGCCACATATACAAATGAATGAGGTGTGAGAAATGAGATGAGAGTGATGAACCAGATTCAAAGAAGTTCACTCTCTACTCAAAAGAAGGATAAAAGAAAGAAGTGGCTATCACTGAAGTTGTATGATGATAACAGAAATCATATAATAATATAGTGATAGAATGATATAGCAATATAATGATACAGTGATATAGCAATATAACAATACAGTTATATAGTGATATAACAATACAAGTGATATAATAATAGACATTGTATGATCAATCAGAAATCACTGAAATGAATATCTTCTCTAGTTGATATGAATAACATTCTTCTCTGCTATCTGAACTGAAAGATATGCAGAACCTCTCAGAGGGTTTACTCAAAGCAGTAAGAAAAGTGACTGAGACTGCTGAACTGAAATTGAAGCTTTGTACACATACAAGAATTCTAAATGAGATTGAGGTCTTGTGTATGCAGTGGCAGGCTGAGATGAAAGCTAAACAACAATTAGCATTCACTGTGAATCAAGTATTCACTATGAAGAGCTTCGCTGATGCAATCATCATTATTAATAAAGATAGAGAAAACCAGATCTTAGATCTGCAGCAGAAGATTGAATATTTATACAGACAGATGACTATATCAAATCTGAAGGTTTCATCACAATCATTCATAATCTCTTCAAAAGTGTACACATTATCAGAGATCACTGCACAGAATGAGAATCTGAGCATGGAATACATCAAGTCAGAAGATCTGCTGAAGCTATTAAGCTTCAATAGTGACTGAAAAAATGATGCTGCAATCAGCTGACTAAGTCAGATGTGATTATATTATTGAATTGAATGTGAACTCACAGACAGACAGTCAACAGAATTTTAACAAGTCTTAAGATCTGCTGTGTTTCTATGTGAAAAAGCAAAGTCATTATAAATGACTGATGAAAAGATGAATCTCACAGATATGAAGTGATATTCATTTTCATGAACATGAAATGAGTTTTTCAAATGAATCTTGTACAACTTTGAGAAAGTGAATGTGTAAGATAAGTGTTATGAATGCTTCACTGAGTGTAGATAAGTGAGTAATCTTATATTATACTTCATACACTTCAGCTTATACTATCTTGTGTTGAATGAAGAGCTTTTAACATCTTTCTGTTTACAGATCTTCATTCATGATCTTATATCTGAGTTGAGAGTGAAATGAAAATGCTTAACCTCACAGTCAGACACAGTGAAGAAAGCATACAACATTCTCATTGTACAGGAATAAGTAAGTCAATTGTAACAGAAAATACTGTAATTGAGTATGTCTCAGAAGAGAATGAGTAATCAGACTTCTATAACATAAGTCACACAACTGAATGCAATAAATCTAGATCTGAATGTTATTACTAAAGCACTGAATTCTCTGAAAAAGGAATTCTCTGAGTGAAAACCTTGATATCATGAACATTGAGCTTGCTTCAACTGCAGATATTAAAATCATGATGTAAAAGATTGCACTCAGCATATGCAGTCAAGAGAAGCAAGAGAGTCAAAAAACTAGCAGAATCAGTGAGCTCAGAGACACTTGCTGATATTCTATGAAAAGTCTTCAAAGTGAAAGAGATGCTCATGTTAGATGATTCTCTGAATTCTGTAAATGCAAAGAGAAAGCAGGCTTCTGACTGAGGTGCGGATGAGAAAGTGAATGCTCATCTCAATGTCTTGAGGCCTGAAATGTTAATGTATAAGAGGCACTTGAATAAGAATTGAGAGATGGCTGCAAAAGTGTTAGCAGACACAGAAGCTTCTATGCAATATATTAATAATTATATGATCTGAAGATTGAAAGGGGTTCACTGAGTGAAGAATCTCTGACATATAAGATTATCTGATAACTGATATCTGATATCATCTGTAAAAGTAAGAGTTTTCTTGCACTTTGAAGAATAGTCTTGCTATATTTGAGTGTGTGAGCTGCAGAATGTGGAATATGACCTTATTCTTGAACTCAATTGATTTCAAAGGTTCAATCCACAGATTCAATAGTGTACATGTCATATGTGATTGACTGATAGAAAGAAAATGATTCATACAATTCTATTAACTGATATGAGAAGAACATTTCATGTCTCTGATATAGAAGAATTAAATCTGCTTACACATTAACAAGCAAAGAGAACAATTCACAAGACCTCATCTGAAAGCATTCTGTATGTCATACAGGACTCAGAAGTGAAGAAAATCAAGATAAAGAATATGTGAGAGGACAAGTGTATGAAGAAGCTTCTGAAGAAGTATGAAAAGATCTTCTGAACAGATCTTTCACTGAAATTGCTGCTGAAATGAGGATTCATACATGAGATTGACACAGGGGATGCAAAACCAGTCAATCAGAATGTGTACTCTCTGTCACAAATATATCTTGAAGAACAGAAGTGTCAGATCACAGACCTTCTAGAATATGATCTCATATAACTCTCATCAAGTATGTGAGGCTTTCCAGTTCTATTCATGAAAAAGGTAAGTGAGGAGTGATGAATATGTATCAATTATTGAGCACTCAATAAGCTTACAATCAAGAATGAATATTCACTGTCATGAATTCAATAACAGTTGAATACAGTTGAAAATGCTTGATATCTATCAAAGATTGATCTTCTCTCAGAATACTGACAGATCTGTGTAGATGAACTGTCAGTCTCATGAACTATATTTAATACACAATAAGAGAAGTTCAAATTCCTGATAATGTCATTCAGTCTGACAAATGTGCTCACTATCTTTCAAATGATGATGAATATGATTCTTCATAAACAGAATGAAACCTCATATCTTGTATACTTCAATAACATTCTAGTCTTTTCAAACTCATATGATGAAGATCTGAAGTATCTTAATAAAGTGCTTACAACTCTGACAGAGTATAAGCTCTATATTAAATCAATTAAGTGTGTGTTTGAAATGAAAGAGTTGAAGTTTATAGAATATGTAGTGAGTGATGACTGTATACATCTCATTCTGAAGAAATTGAATATCATAGTGAATTGACTGCAGCTGAGAAACATACACTATATATGACAGTTTCTTGAATTGATCTCATACTACTGCAGATTCATCAAGGATTTTGTATGAATATCTGCATCACTCTCAGATCTCTTGAGAGAAACAGATGCAAATCTGTAAAAGAAGAAGTTTCATTCAATTATCTGAAATACTGTGTATGAAGAGGCTTTTCTCACACTGAGAGAACATGTAACAACATTCTCAGTGCATATTTAATCAGATTGTGATAAACCTTTCTACTTTGAGACAGACACATCTGAATGAGCTATCAGAGGCGCTCTTCTACAGATGAGTAAGAACAGCAAGCTGTATCTGATGATGTATGATGATAGAAAACTATCAGATGCTGAGCTCAATTATTCAGTGTATGAAAAGAAATTGCTAGTGATCAAGTATGTGCTGGTATTATGAGATAGATATATTGACAATGAGTATATGATAATAGTGATCACAGATCATGAAAGTCTCATCTATCTATAATTAATGATAAAATCTTTCAAACACTTAGTATGTTGAATCTTGAAGTTCTAAGTATATAATCTTCATATCAAATACTGAAAGAGATTGAATATCATAGTATCTGATGCAATCAGTCACAGATCTGATTTCATGAGTGAGGGTTCTATGAATCAGATATAAGAGATGTTCACATTAAACACACTGAGAGAATGCAAGGAATCAGAATGAGTGAATACTATGATCTCTCACTTGAAGAATGACAAGATGTCAGATGATAAGTGTCTTATGAAAGTAGTAGAAGAGATGCTTTCAAACTTTAAGCTGAGGAAATTGAAAAATGACATTGTACTTTACTGTGATCTAGAATACACAGAAGCTCTCTATCTAGAATCTTCATTTCAACATGACTTGATGACTCACATGCACAAGGAATTCAGTCACTTAGAAAGCTCTGAACTCATAAGTGTACTTGAATCAAGTGTATACTGGTCAAGCATGACTGAGAACATTCAGATGTACACTCATAAGTGCCTGAATTATCAGATTATAAAAGAATCTAAGAAAGGATTAGAATGTAAGAAAGTACAATATCAGATGAAGTGTACAATACAACTGTTTAAATGATGAGAGATAGATCTCATAGATATATTATCATGAACATCAAATGAAAATTGATGAATAATCACTGCTATTGATTATGCTACTGGCTGGCCAGTTGTAAAAGCAGTTTCAGAGATAACAGAGAAGATAATGATGAAGTTTCTACATGATGAGATCTATGTTAACTATGAAATGCCGCGTGAGATTCTAACTGATAACAGTGTAAATCTTGTAGAAGAAGTGATGAGGCATTTTATAAGCCAGTTACAGACAAGACATTGTAGAACAATGTCATATCATCTGTGAATAAATGAAAAGATGAAACACTTGAATGAAATCTTGATCAACATGCTGATGAAATATCTAGTGAGCAAGCCTATGAGACTATGAGATGAATATCTCAGACAGACACTACTGATCATGTGAATTCAACAGTATGCAGTCTTCAAGTGTTCATCATTCTATCTGTTGTATGGATTGCATTCACGCATCCTGAAGAATGCTTCGAAAAAGATGAGGAAGAAAACAGCAGTTACAGATGCAGTAGTAACAGTTGTGAACACAATAGTTACAGACATGAAATCAAGATTGAAAGAGATCAGTCACACACATGCAAAAGCTAACAAGTTACTCCTGAACTGAGCAATTCAATCAAAAAGAATATGAGACTCACTTGTTAAGAAATTGAGTCTCAAGATAAGAATATAAGTTCTTGTATATAATGAGAATTCTGAGAAGTTTCAATCTAGATAACTTGAGCTATATAAAATACTCAAATCACATTCTCTGAAAATGTATGCATTGAAAGAATCAGAGAGACAGATCTTATACAACTTAATCAATGATTCATGACTTGTGAAAGTAAAGATATAAGATCTGAGTGAATTATAATTATTCACAGCACTATCATCAGTGTTGAAAAAGAAGAGACTTATAATTAAAAAGTCTTGCAAAGTAAGAGAAATCATAGACACTTACAAATCAGATAATCTCACTTATTCTGATCTTTTCATAATTATAAGGAAAGAATGAGAAGAAATAAAGAAATCAGATAAACATCATACTTTAATAAGTGATGAGACTATAGCTGATTGTATAATAACACACTGCAGATAGCAGATGCAACACAGTAAAGAGTAATCTCAAAGTAGCAGACTTGCATGTGAATCAGATTACAGAAGAAAAAGAAATTCAGAGTTGAATTTAACTATTTACATCAGTTCAATTGCAGAGATCACAGAGAATAAACTATCTGAAATATTCACAGACATATGAGATCAAGTCATCTTGATCTCTGAGAATGCTCAGAGATCAGATAAGATTAGTTTTAATAAGCTGTTCACTGTAGTAATCTGAGCAGGTGAAGAGAGACAGTATAATATGTGAGACAGAATCACAAAAGATGAAAGCTGCTGAACCTAGTCACTGAATACTGTATTATATAGAGATTGTGTAAGAGTAGTAACTAGCAGATAAAGAAAAAGTGTAAGAAAAGAGATGATAAATTAATCATCAACTGTAAGAGTCAGCTGTAAAAGACAAATATTATTATACATATCTCATTCATTTTCATACATTACATGTTAATCTATTTTCAATGCCATGTCATCTGAAAAATGTCAAAAATAAAGGAAATCTCAAAACTTGAGATCTGTAAGAGATTTGAGAGCTGCAAGCTGCTCTTGCAATAACACTGTACATGTCTTCAATTCCTCTATCACTCTGTGTATGACATTAATGTCATTTATTACAAGATTGACTGAAATGCCAATATAGAAATGTGTACATGTATGTGTAGAGAAATTGAAGAAGAGTGCAGGACCTGCAGAATCAGAAGCCAGAACAGAGAGAATGAAGATGAAAGAAACAGAAGAACAAGAAGATGCAGAACTGAATGAACAATGACAGAAGTTATCTGAGGCTGAATACTTATAATCTGATGTGTGCATAACCTTCTCTGTAGAAAAGAAAGAGAAAGTGATAAGAGAAGCTTGAGAGTGAAAGAGAGTAGTCTTGACAGTATTATCATCTTTGATCAGAATGGCCTCTGATATCAGAGCAACTAAGAATTATTGTTAGTGTATGAAAATTATAAAATCAGAAGTGAAAACAGTTACTGAATGAACACCTGCTGATCTTAGAGTTGTATACATAATTACAACACACACAAGGCTTCTCAGAAAGAGAGAGAGAGATATGAGAAAATACAGAAAGCAGAATACAGTGTATGAATAGCTCATTTTCACAATGACATCTCAGACAAGATGTATAAGTCTCACACTTACAGGTGTAAAAGAGAACAATATCTGTGTTCTCATTTCTGAAAACACAGATATTCTTCACCTGCATTACAAAGTCAGATGACAAATGTCAGAGAATAGGCTGATATGAGTTGATCATGCTGAAGATATTCGTCAGAGTGAATGTACTCACAATATTGAATTTAACAGTTATGAAAAGTTTCTTGATATCTGTGAATATCATGACTTTATACACAGTAAAACCCATAATGATTTTCCCTAAGAACAGAAAAATCAGTGTTAGAAAGAAAAGATGAAAAGAAAAAGACTTACAATCTCAACACTGTTGAGAAGAAAGATGATTCTCTGATACAAATGAATGATTTCTTCATTATGAATATTTAAAATGAATATAATAATCAGTGTCTGTGACTGAGCTTCAGATAGTTATGTTGTACATAGTCTTCATATAATAAATTATTCTGAGAGTTGGTAAGAAGGGTGAGAGTGTATGCACTGAAAGAGATGATTCATTAAGTCTATATAACATCTCCTTGAAATGGGGAGAGCTGATAATGAAGGCAGAGACAGCAAAACCAGGGATTGTGAGAACAGAGGTAGCGGGAGTGGGAGAACCAGACACAGGGGCAGGTGTAGAAGATTGAGAGAGAGCAGCAGAGAAAGAAACAGAGAGAGCAGAGAGGGACGCGGGAGACCCGGCTATACATAACACAGGCAATTCCTTCATTATCACGCTCTCCAAGTTCTTGATCAATGATTCAACATTGAGTTCACTATCATTGATAAATGCGGATCTGTCAATATGTGAAGATTCTATGTGAATAAAAACAAACATATCAGCATCTGCATCCATGCAAAATTGTGCCAGAAAACATGATCAGAAACTCGCTGAGAAGAGAAACAGTCAAGAGTGTATGAGAAGATAAAGAGAGTGTATGAGAAGATGAAGAAGATGTGTCATCATTCATGATAATACATTGTTCTGATAATTGTTAGAAGATAAACAAGTTCTGATCATGTTTCACAATGTGTTACACTTACTGCTAATGAACTGCCTGATATGAGCACTATGATAATACTTGTTATGAGAACAGAGAGCCATTGCCAGAAATGCATACAATGTGATAGATGAACAGATAGAAAGAGTTGAACAGAAGAAGAGATAGAAATCTTGAATGATAATGACATTCAATGATGATGAAATGAAGAAGATGATTGAAGAATGAGAAAAGTTAGTGAATAAGTGATGTAATATAGTAGAAGTTTCTTTGTGAGAGTGTATGCAGAATGCTAGCTGAATCAGGAATAGATCACATGATCATGAAATGCTAGTGGTGAGCTAATTCACATGAAGCTAGGACATACAACATGGTCATGTGAGTGTGACTGAATCTGGTGAGAGAGGATGTGGTTTGAAAGAATGTATGACTGTCAGATAATAATGCAGCCGCTTCCGAACTACTAGTGTATGTGTACAAGTGTAAAGGGGCCATAGCGGCCGCTAATTAAATTAGCGTACGATATTACAATATATAAGAAGCCGGCATACGCCTGTAATCGTACGCTGGCTTAAGCAACCTTTGAATCACAATCTGATATTACTCTGTCTGAACAGTAGACATCTGAGTATTTAATATTCTTATTAAGAGAATCAGCTTCATCAAGCTGTTGAGTAGATTGAGAGACTGGTCTGACTGTGTCAGAAGCTGAATTGAAACCAGCTTTGAATTGAGAGAGTGTTTCAATAATGAAGCTTTCAAAGGCTTCAGAAGAATGTTCACTGACAGAGTGTGAGTGTGAAGAATTATCATCATCAACTGCAACTAACTCAGTGAAAAGAATGCAAGATTGTGAACATGTGTGTGAGTGAGATTGTATTGAATCTGCCATCTTGATATTTGTTTATTGAATTCTTGTCAATATCATTCTCTTTTCTTACTTTTTTACAAATGTGATGTGTTTTCTGCAAGCCTCTTTTTTAAGTGAGCAGTAGTATTATTAATCATCAAGATCTCAAATACATTAATACTGATAGAATAAGATGATTTTAACTTCTGAAGAGTGTATTGAATGAAGCAGTAGTTCAAATAATGATTATATTGACAAGAAATTCTGAATTGACAGTGATTTTACACAAAATGAGTCTCATAATCTGTGAAAGGTGTAAAGCTTGTGTGATTGAAAGGTTACTAGCTTGTGAAAAGTTATATGATGGAAGGATTAGTAAGCCAGATCACGTGACCTGACATATTTACCATCAATTCTACAATCAATTCAAAATTAATTTAAAATCAATTTAATACTGAAATTATTCTTGAATTTAATAATAAAGTAAGTGTTTATATAATTTACACTGAATTTATTATTAACTGATTTTCAATCAATTATTAATTACTTAAATATACAGATTGAATTTATTTTATTACTATAATTAATTAACAATTAATTCAGAATCAATTCAAAATCAATTTAAAATTAATTTAATACTGAAATTATTCTTGAATTTAATAATACTACTGAATTGATTATCAACTGATTTTCAATCAATTATTAATTACTTAAATATATAGATTAAATCTATTTTTATTACTATAATCAATTCAAAATCAATTCAAAATCAATTTAATACTGAAATTATTCTTGAATTTAATAATAATACTGAATTGATTATCAGCTGATTTTCAATCAATTATTAATTACTTAAATATATAGATTAAATCTATTTTTATTACTATAATTAATTCAGAATCAATTCAGAATCAATTTAAAATTAATTTAGAATTAATTATTAAATATTTTTATCTTGATATACTTTAAAATTCTGTAAAACATCTCTTTATATTCTATATGAATTTATCTGTTTATTTAATTGATTATGAATCAGCTATACATGCTTTAATTAATTAATAAGCTGAATAAATAAGTGAATTGAAAGATTGAAAGTTAATTATCAACTGATTATTACTGTATTGTGTGAGATCAGAGTCATGATTATATAATAAGATCAAGTGATACACTTAGCAAGGTCAAGTTTTCTGTATATACAAGATTGTGCTGTTTTATCTATGAATTAACAATCAGTCAGTCATGTGATCAGACTAGTATGAAATAGATCATAAGCTAAACTATATTAAGAACAATTTCAATTCATTATGTAGAGAATTATACAGAAAGAATATAGAGTTAATTTACAGTGATTACACTGTGAATTCATCATTTCATCTGTGTCATGTGTTGCTAATTATAACATATTGTAAGAGGTCTACACTCAATAGATCAGTATTATATTAATAGGTCTTATTTAATAAAGATAAAAATGTTAAAGAAGGAAAGAAAAAGAAAGTATGAGAATCAGTGATTGAGATGAATATTTATATGTATATGTGATGATATACACAGTGAAGCTTTGAGATGAAAGAATATACACACATTTGTAGCAGCTGAGAATCAGTGATTGAGAATGACTGAGAATCAGAGTGTATATTACACATGTTTATAGCAGCGGAGAATTAATGATTGAAAATGAAAGAATCTATGAAGTGTAATAAAATAGTCTATATAATTGATTAGATGCAGTCTGCTACATTAGTCTCTCTCTTTCAGAAGCAGTTTTCATCAGTCAAGAACTGTTATTTCAGATAATACAGAACTCAGAGTTCAGACCAGTTAATTATAGCTGATCTATTTTATAAGATATTATCAGCTACAGCTGTGAGATCTCTTATCAAGTATATTCTCAATCTCTCACTCAAGCTCATTATCTTCTTCTATAATGTCTAGTAACTGTCAGTCAGAAGTCAGCTGAGAAGAGAATGAATCAGTGATAATATAGCAGAGCAAGCTTGTATGAAATATATTATAAATCTTTGATAATGTGTTAAGACAGTAGTTATAACTATCTAGAACTTCTATCACTTTATATCTAATATAGCAGTAATCTAGTATACAAGATGAATATGTGATTTGTATATTCTTAAGATTCAATTATATCAGATCTTCTATCTTATATTATTGAGTGAGATCTTAGTAAACATTGATTTAATTCTCTTAATCTTGTTTCACAGTTGTTATAAAGATCTCTGCTTAATTATAAGTATCTCCGAGCTTTGTTACTATATTATTAATAATCTGAATTAGACTGTGAGATTTTGATATAAACTGTGTGATCTCTAGAAGATTCAACACTTTCATGTGATAACTGTGTGTAAGAAAGAACAGACTTATATCTGTTAAAATAGCACCTTAGTCATTAATAGTGACCTCTGTAGACTGACCGTATGACCGTGTCTGGGACTAGAATCAGAATTTTTGATAGTTTTATTACTAATTCAACAGATCCCATTACACGGTTCTAACATTAGATAGTAGTTTCATACTGTTTCAGTGAGACTTACTGTCTACTCTTATCACATTTTTCAAATGAGATCATGATTTCTACTTCTCAATTTAAATTATGTTGATTGCTTTAAATGACTTTAAATCTTATTTGAGTGTTATCAAAAAGTGTTACTTTTTAAAAAATTAAAAATAGTCTAAAAAAAACCTTAAAATGTCTAAAAATAGTAACTTTATGCTAAGAATGAGACTAAATAAGATCAAATGAAACCACTTTCTCATTTTTTTCAAGTCATGGTTTCATTTTAAGATCTGATATATAGTCACTTTATATGTTTATTTAATGATTAGTCCCAGCGGGATTCACATCAAGAAATGTATGAGACCAGATCAAATGAAATCAAACATGAAATTTATGATCTCGGCGGCCAGTCTAGACCTCTGTATGTAGAAGCAGATTATATCAATCATCTTATAAGTAATTACAGAACTTGTAGAGATAATTCTTTATAGTCTGAATTATCTATTCTGATGCAACATCAGTCTTGAAATAATAGACAGTTGATAGATAGTATATAATCTTAAGAACTTGACAGATTCTTGTTCAGAAAGTACTTATAAATTGATAACTCTGATCTGATACTATCAATCTCAGTAACTTATATATTCAATAGAATGAACTCTGTAAGAAGACTTCACTGACTTATTCAGTGTTCATCTTATCATAAGATTGTAATATTATATTCTTACTTAATCAGTCAATGATGATCAGAATGTTTCTACAATTCTTACTCTTAGATAGATTAATAGTGAAGTTAATTACTATATCTCATCAGAGTCTATCAGAGATATTGAGTGATTTCAGTAGATCTTTTCTACAGTTCTTTTATAAGATAATAGAAGAACAGTGATTGCAGTTTTAAACAAAGTATCTGATACTGTTTAATATCTCAGATTAGTAGAATTCTCAGAAGATTATTCTATACAGTTATTCATAGTGTGAATAACTGATTATATACAAATTATACATCTTTTATATTATCTGAGTATGTAAGAGTTCAGAGTGAGAGACTCAGCATTATTCATGAAATTATAGAGTGTTATTATCATTGATTGAATATTCTAAGATATTGATTCTTATATATAGTTCTGAGAGAAATTAGAGTGTTTCTTAATATACTGCTTTAGTGAGAATCTGAAGAAGTTCATCAGCCTGAGCTGCTATATATCACAGTTCATTCAGTGTAGAGAAAGTGAAGATATCAATATCAGTTCTAATTAAAGAAGCATGTATGATACTGTGAGCTGTTTTATCTTAATTAACTAGTATCTTCAGATTTAAGAGCTGATGCTCTTGATTTATTCAGTGAGTATCTGTTATTATTATTATTATTCTTCAATTATAGATGTATGCAGTCAGAGACTATGACATCTACCTGAGAACTTTTAGTTCTCAGGGTTTTTCCTATGTCTGTAAAGTTAACTATTATACATTCATCAATTTCAGATATGCAAAATCAGAAAATTCCAGCTCAGAATACAAAGACTGTTTTCAAATTGCAGTGTTTTAACATCTTCTGATACTTTGAAATCATTTGACAATATCATGACAAAGGAAAAGAGAAAAAGAACACAGTCTCAAAGATAGACACATTAAATAGATAGATAGAAAGAAATTGAAAGGAAAAGATACAGAAAAAGATAAAGTAAAGAGAGACTATAATAAAACAAATTATTAAAAGAGAGTGTATAGCTGTTTTAACAGAC